CTTTCATCAAATAACTCTTACCACAAGACAGGATGGCAAATTCAGCAAATTTTTTTTAGCGAAAAGCAAAAGTCGGTCATAAAAATTTAACGAAAAAGACACCTTGTAACAACAATTTGCCGGTATTTAGCAGTAGCATCGATGAGGCAATCCAGCTCATACGTGGACATATCATTCACTTCACATGTTTTTATACCTTTCGAACGCATTTCACACCATCCAGGGAACAACGTGCCGCCAAGCGATGCCAAATACGTAACATCAATAAACCATGTTCGTTCTTGGCACTGTAATCGTATTTTATAGAAACGAATGACTCAAGTCTAGTTGAGGGAGTTTGGGTGTGGCAGATGAGGCAAAAAAGGGGAAGGGGGGAGGCGGAGAGTATGCTGCGGATTTCGTTCGAGGCAGTGGAGGGTGGCTGGAACAGGGTGGACTTAATAGGCATATGGGGTAGATTCCTTGTAGACTGACTAGGTTACGTACCCTTACCTCCACACTGTTATTAAGATAAAATAAAAGGAAAATTAACTTTAAAATTGATAAAAGAATGCCTGGTGAAGTAATATTGGGCATTTCCCCTCTCTGTATTGTTAAATGGACAATGCCCATAGCAGTTCCCATCACCAAATTTACAAAGCCCAAAACAAGAATTACTTGTATTTCGAAATCTCTGTACGGGGTTTGTCCGGTGAGATCTTGCGGTGATAATGTTTCGATGATGCGTAATCTGAATGTAACGTCAACTCGTGAACCACTGCGTGTTTCTTCTTGCAAAACAACACTCGATGCATACCATAAGTCCCGGAAGACCTGCAAAAAGCGCTACTTTACTCTTTTGTCAGATTAGAAAAAACACACTGAAATAGAGCAGTGCACGTAAATATCCAAAGTATTTTCTGGGAAAACACCGTTCTGCGAAAATTCCGTGAACTGAAGAGATTCAACGCTGAGCCGATCTATTAACTCGCATGTTTGGGTTGCTTGGGATGCGGAAACACATGACAGAAGTCTATGAGGAAACAGTCAGAAGCTCCATCGACAAAAATTTCCAATAATGAACCCGCAAAGCTCCAAGGAATTCCCCGACATAACAATGTTAGAAAACGACAGACATGATTTTTTTTAAAATCTTTTTCCCTTCTTATCTTCTCTTCGACCCATTCTCACTCCTACTAATCCCAAGGTCATAGCGTTTTCCATTATTTCATTTCCTCCTTCCCTTTTCTCTTTCCCTTCCATTAAGCACTGCGACCGTCATACTGACAAGGCCCTGTCACGGTGTTAAGTTAAGACATATATGACTTAATGGACCGAAATGTCTTATCTCACTCTTGCCTTCTTTTCTCATGCTGTTCTTTCTTTCTGTATTTTTAGACTTCTAGGATCAACCCGGAGATTATAGTGGGCTTAAGAGCGATATATGTGATAGCAGTAAAGGGATGAACCTTAAAATGGAAGGCGCCAACGGAAAGTGCAACATCGACAAGAAGTGAATAGGCACAATGTTCTTCAGGATGCACACTCAAAGTCCAAGTATCGCAATTTTGTTTCTTCACACACTGAAAACAAGCCAATATTTGTTAAAATTAATTTAGCCACGAAGACATTTCCTCACCCAAAAGGAAACAAAATTTCGTCAAAAAGCACAAGTTAATCAGACGGAACTAGATTTCGCCAAAATTTGCTGATATAAAAAAGCGCTGAAAAGAATTAATATGATAAAGGAAAAAGAATATTTAGAGTAAAAAATATTAATATCAGTAAAGAACACGTAAAGATGGCGTGAGAGCTACCTCAGAGAACGCGAAGTGTCTGAAATCAGCATCGGTGATTATTCATTAACTTAATCAGTGGAAGACTAAAACAGTAGAACAGAGGGATTGGACTTAAGTGTCATGTGTAAGAAGACATTTTACGCGATGCAGTGTCTGTGTTTCATCCCATAGCTGTAAATGCAGACCGAACTGTGCGTGCGGGTAGGAGCGGAAATTATCAACACAGCCTCCTACCCGCCATGTATTGAACAGTCATGTGACTAATTTGCAAGAGGGATATGCGAAAGAAAAAGAAAACAGAGAAAGAGAGCGAACAGAGTGAGAAACAAAGAAAGGACAGAGTGAAAGAAGAGGAAATTAACCCATGAAAGAAGACAATCATTATCTTTTTATGAGAAAAGTGTGCTGACCAGACGTTTAATTGCTGAATCATCAGTAAAAGTGAATTCGGACCTGTATTGTACAAGAATAACCGTATTCGCAAAGCTCACAGCTCCAACCGTTCGATAAATCAGCACCGTTCCATGTTCGTTCCAGTGTCCATGCACGATCCATTACAACAAATATTCAAACGAGGATCTTGAAAGTGCTAGCATTTAATTAAAAAGAATATATCTGAGCCAGTTGTTCAAGCGAATATCGGAGGGGAGGGG